AGCAACAAAAATATCATACATTTTCATCAGTACACTGGTTATTAGTGACTGATTATCTGTTTTCCCCTAGATAATATATTCCATGAAATCTAACTTCCAAATTTAAGCTCTTGTTTTTCATTTTCAGTTATCATAGAGAAACACGGTGCAACCTGATGTGGGCTCAGGCTCAAACTACGACCAAATCAAATCATTTGGTCTATTCTTAAAATCTTGATTCATGCACTTCATTGTTTTATGCTTCTATCTAGACCAACTTCAATTCAGTATACAATTCATACCCCTGGGTTCAATCTGGTTTCATTTCACGATTTGTATCACATGAATTGTAAGTACTAACTACCTTCTCCCCAAGATCAACATCATAGAGTTCACCCTCTTCCTCTACCTCCTAATCAGATCTTTCCATCTCTTATAGTTCTGCGTTTTCCAATTATCTTTTCTATGTCACTCTTATCTCCTTTTTTGTTAGATCTTCTCCTAACATTCGTGGCATTAAGTTTCCAAGGTTTAGGAATTCAAAACTATGTATTTCTGGACTATATAATCTGTCGTTTTAGTCAATTAGAAGTTTCACTCCCTTCTTATAAGAGAAAAGTGTTACAAAAACAATATTAGAAGTTTTTTTAAAGAAAGGGTCGCGTGACCCGTTAGAATTTACTCTTGACGACTTAACCTACTACCAGATCGAATCGTGTGGTTCAGTATTGTAGTCACGATTCTTGCAATCTGTTGCTATACACTGCCTTACAATTTCATTTCAGACACATTTTCTGTTCATTTCTGTTGCATATTGTGATTTATACGTATGCATACGATACTAATTACCATGCTTTCAATTTTCGTTCGGATCATCTTCTTTTCTGAAAAGGTCGTTAAATACATTTGTCTGTCAGTATGTATGATCAAGTGCCAGATATATGATTTGAGTATGTCATGTTGTGTTGGATCATATTTAATATTTTAATTGTTTGTTTTCCCTGTTATCAGTCTATCAGTTCTTCTTTTCTGTTCTCTATGCTGGTAGCCCTGTAACCCTGTTTGATGTGCTCTGCTGACTGCTTAAAAATATGATATATGGATGGTTAATTACAAAATTATTTTGGGGGGACAAACTTACTGGTGCTTAATTATTGAACAGTGACAGAAGCTGCCCGCTCTCAGGATGAGGAAGACTAATGATAGAACTTAACAACTGAATTGTTGTCTAAGGTGAGGGCAATTGTCTCGTAATGCTTTAGTTTAAAGCGTGCATTTACCGGATAATGTATATGAATTGTTTGGTACTACTGCAATTTGAGTAATCGAGATTTAATGACAAATTTATGCTTTTGATTTGTTAATCAAAATTGTTATGCAAGGAGTGTATATATTTATTATGTGGAAACTAATAAACTAATTATATTTTCTAATGTTTTATTGATAGGAATACTTGGTGCAAAACTGCCTCCCTGTGTTTACTCCACCACTTTTTCAGGGCTCTGTGTTTCCCAAAGGGAGGTGATGTAAAATTGTAAATATACCAAACCGCTATAGGCATGTGGTCTATTCCGTTGTGTTGCAACTTTACTCAAAGCTGCTAATGTATTTCACTTTCACTGTAACCTTTTGTAATTATTCTTTTTACTGGTTAACGTCCTGTAAACTTATGAAATCCCTCCTCATGTTGATATAATTTATATTTATATTCATATTCTATTTAGGCTGCTTTATATATACTGATGTGAAAGTTTAGAGAAAATGATGTTCCATTGGTTATCAATTTTATTAGACTAAAAGAACCTGTCATTGGTGGGATAGTTTTTTCACTTTTAGTCCCTTACTCCCTTTCATTTTGACTAGTATGGCCTGTATGGGGGACACTTTGGGCACATATTTTTTAATTTTTTCACTGTGTTTTAAGTTTTAACTAGGGAAAACTGTCAAATGAGTCCTCGAACTTTCGTATTGATGAAATTTTTTGAGCATCTTATTCACCAAGTCTAGTTTATTCATACCAAATGTCAGCTAAACATTCAACCGGGAACACATTCAAATTAATTCTTGAAGATAATTGCGTATTTTTGCGTTCTTGAATTAATTTGAATGCGCTCCCGATTAAATTTTTAGCTGAAATTTGGTATGAGTAAATTAGACTTGATGAATAAGATGCTAAAAAATTTTCATCAATTTTTTTTGAACCGCCCTAAACCGCGACGACCGGACAAAGTCTCATATAGAAGGACTTAATTGACTTTTTGTACCCCTCTTGTGGGTCACAAAAGCACTTCATTAAAATGGAGCAATTAATTTAATGTTTTGGACTTTTGTGAACCACACACACATAGAACGGGTACAAATGAGGTATTTGGTACCTCTAACAAAATTCTTTAACTATTGTGCAAGTGACACTAAGAGCATCTCCAATGTTAAAACGTGAACGGTGCATACGTGTCATGAGAGATAGCCAATTAAAAATAATAAATAGAATATCTCTCTCCTTATTTGAAGGGTCTTGTATCATTTTGGTAAGTTTTTCTTCACAATGTCAAACACAATGTCTAGATGTAGACATTGTGCTTGACATTGCAGGGGAGAACTTACCAAAAACACATAAAACCGTGGAAAGAATGAGAGAGAAATGTCATAAATTCAATTTTTTGTGTGTATCTCTCATGCCACATATGCACTGTGCACATTGTAGCATTGGAGATGCTCTAATTGTCACTTTAGCTTTCAATGCAATTTCAATGTAATTATCTAAACGGTCTCAAAATAGATAAATGACAAAAACAGCCAAGTAGCAAGAGTGTCTCAAAATAGTTATAGCATAGAAACAAGAATTCTTTAAAAGATAAGAACTAGAAGTGTCTTCAACATGATAGTTGCGATATCAAATTTACCTATACATAAATAATGTTACATTAATTTATTTATTTGGAGTAAGTTTGAGATAATTTTACTATCTTCTTAATTTTTTCACTATATGTGTTTGGGAGTTGGGACTTGGAGCAGTTCGGTGGTTGAAAAGGGGTAAAATGGTAATGGAGGTAGTGAGCTTGTGTGGTGTATTTCATAGATGAGACTATGAGAGTGCAAACACAGACATTTAGAACATAAAAAATGCGGTAAAATAGAACTGCAAACAAATAAGACAGAATATCCATATATTCAAATTTGGCCTCATAAATTTATCCATACTCCATACTAAATTTAATTTTACTCAAATATGAAACTTTAGTTGGATCAATTAATATTTGATTTGTAGAAAAAGTCACTGATTTGAGAAGAGACTTTCATAACGTGTCAGCGGCACTCGTCACGTGACATCGCCATGGCCCTGTTAGTATTCCCATCAGGTCAGCATTCAACCATGTTTCTCTCATACTACCTCCGTTCCTTATTAATCTTCCAAATAGGTTTGGCACAGAGTTTAAGATAGTGAGTATTGTGTGGTGGAGAGTTGTGCAGAGGAGAGAGAAATCTGTAAGAATTGCTGTGAACCACAAATTCTGGCCAAAAAGGGAAAGTGGAAGTTTTAATTGGGACGGACGAAAAAGGAAAGTTGGAAGTTTATTTAGGGACGGAGGGAGTAACTGGCTATGAGATAGGCATCTATATCAAAGATGTAAACAATCAAGATCTTTTCAAGCACCCTTGCAATAACAAGATTTGGATCATCCTATGACAAAATATCGAAAAGTGTCTATGCAAATATCTTATCATTTTAAAATAGATTTAGAAAATACTCGCTAAAGTATGCTGAGATAACTTATTAGCCAAGAGAAGGTACCCCATACGTCCCATCCAAAGGACTCACTTTTTTTTTGGACGTCTCAACTAAAAGTTCCATTTTCTATTTTAAGAAATAATTGACACTCCATTATTATTATTATTATTATTATTATTATTATTATTATTATTATTATTATTATTATTATTATTATTTAAGAGTGATAATTATTTCCTAAAGTAATGTATAAATATTTTAAAAATAATACATCCATAACATCACAATTATTATCAAGAACCTCACTATATTATATACTCGTCATAATCATTTCTCAAAATATACTCGAATTTTTATATTTAATTATTGTCTAAATAATCATACAACTTTGCAATGAAAATCTTTGAATGAGACTAGTATTTATTTAGTCAACCAAGACCAAACATGATCTGCCACTATAAATCCTTGATTACATCATTTATTGTATGATATCTGCTTTTGCTACATATATTTTCAGGATTTGCAAGCAATTTGTGGCAAAATTAGGATGTTGAATTTGCAATGATATCGAATAAGGCAATAATCATGGCTAATTATAGTTGGACTACAGCCAAATGTGTTACTCCCTCCGTCCCATTTTACCTGTCCTACTTTCCTTTTTGAATTGTCCCAAAATAAGTGTCTACTTTCTTTTTTTAAAAAGAAATATGTGACCTACACCATTTCACTTTACTCCTTCTATAACAAAAAAATCTCCCCACTTTCCTTTTTCGTCCGTAACAAAAAAATCTTCCCACTTCTAAATCTTCCCATCATACCGTCAATAATTCTAAAAATAATACATTATTACAACTACTTTTTTTTGGATTTATCCTACATTCCATCACATTATTCCACTATCTTCCCACCATACCCTCAATAATTCATATTTCCTTTCACTATTCTTAATCTACTTTTTTTTTTTTTTTTACTCCAGGGGGGGTCTGGGGGAGGGGGTCTGGGGGGAGCCTGGAGTAATCAGGGCTGAAACCCACTCCATTGAGTTTCACACCCTTGTGTGCCTAGCGGGATTCGAACTCGAGACCTCCCACTAGGCATGGTAACCTCACAACCAGCTGGGCTGGAATGCTCAAACCTACTTTTGAAATGAGAAAGTTTTTAAGTTATGGAGGTAGTATTATACTCAAACCTCAACCACAAATTTTACTTTTCAACCACTTTATTAATAATCGTGCCAAGTCAAACTAAGACACATAAATTGGGACGGAGGTAGTACTTGATTTTTTAAACGGGACAGGGGCATTGATTAAACTATTAAAGAGGCCGATAAAGGTAGTCAACTCCAGTTGTATTGTTGCACCTTGCATAAACAGAATAACATATTACAGGCACCAACATTAGAGTTGGAAGAAGATATTACAGCACCAACAATAAATACTGAAAGTAGAGTTCATTAAGGAAAAAGAAGATTATTCTCCCAGACCTAGACGTTATGAGAACACCTCTCCAGAAACCTATGATAGTAATCCTACACCCTCTCATGAAATGAATTCTTTAGGGAGTACAACCGCAAGTAAAAGAGCTCGCCTGGGAATAACAGAATATATTCTCATTTTTCTGCATTTGGATCGCTGGAACTAGCATTCAGGCACCATCATTATATGTACTTGAAATGAGTGAATGAAGAAACAATTGTTGAATGAAGAAACAATTGTTCAAAAACACAAATTCACTACTACACTAATGAAATATCAACAATGGTGGGCGAGTTAATAGGTTGAGTTCTGAAAAGCTCAGTCCCCATTGTTGATTAGAGGACTTGATATAAGTATATTAATATGCAGTAGTAGCTTATTCTACAAAGCGTCCCAAGTCTAGTATAGTCGTACTTGAAAAAACATGCTCAAACCATGCTTGACAAACCACCACTTTTTTGTGACAAAACTAGTCGTCCACCAACTAGATATTCAATCAATGGTAGGCCACTAGTCATCAAAAGTCAAAACTGGTCAACAAGTGGAGTCAAAAGGTCGACCATTAATTGTCAATAAAACTGGCTGACAAGTAATAAGGCGAGGGTAGCTTGACCATTCTCGCCAATGTCAGCGAGCAAGAAAAACCTAACTTTGGTCTCGAATCCACACGAGATGTTTTCTGACAAAAGGATACATCAGTGTGGTTATGTAAGTCCAATTTGATCACATTCCAAGAAATATTTCAGGAGCGATCTGTCGTCTACATTTTTACAAGAGAAGGCATCATATAGTCAACGTTTGGGGATGACGTCACCAAAACAAATCTCCATGGATCGAAGGTGGTGCAAATATCACCTTGAATATTTATCGACAAGTGTCTTTGCATTCCCAGGTGCAAAGAATCGTGCCTGTTGTTGCAATTAAAATGTGGGGTTGTGATACAACAACAAAAACTACATCAACAACATCCAAGCCTTAGTCCCCAAAGAGTTTGGGGCCCGGCTAACATGAATCAACACATGAAAGTGGAGATAAAAAGATAAGAAAAATAAGAGAGATAAAAAGATAAGATAAGATAGAAAAGATAAAAAAGATAAACTGTCTGCGCTTCTTTATTATGAAGCAACAGTCACTCCATGCAATTTCCGATGCGATTTTTCTTATGGGTCATCCGGAAACAGTCTCTTTGTATTTTAGTACAAGGGTAAGACTGGGTACATCCGCTTACCCCACCGAAGGTGAGAGCCTTTGCCACACTGGGGCAATGATGATGATGAGAAAAGATAAAAAAGATGAGATAAAGAAAGCTTGCACTTTCATATACTCACCTGGATAAACATTCTCTCTGCATCTCCAACGTTTCCATTCTCTTTCAGAATGATACCCTGTCAAACACAAAGAATATTAAATAAACTTTGAGTTTCTGCAACGCATGGCACGAAAAGTTGGTATATGAGTGTTATCAACAAAAAACATAGAAACAACCTTTGCTAGGTAGCCCCTAAAATCATTGGGGTGGCTAGAGATGAGTTTATCATAAACAGCTAAAGCATCACTGACATGCCCCCAATCTGAGTAGGCTTTCCCAAGAAGCAAGTCAACCTTTTGAAACCCAATCACAAATCGTTGGCTTAATTTATAAACATTACTAAAGTTTAGAGCGAAACATTTAGTCTAAACATTGGGGGGGGGGGGGGGGGGATTGTAAATGGGAGGAGTATCCACAGTTTGATACATTTCTTGGAAAGTGGTCGTAGCGGACTTTCATTTACCTGCTTAAAAAGAATCACTTTCACATCTCATCCTTAGTCATTTCAGTTTCCATGGAAAGTAAAAGAATAAGGGTCTTTGGTGTTTTTTTGGGAAAGTGATCAAAGTGAAATATGATCCACTTCCCCTTGTGAAAAGTAATAATTTGATCTGACTTTGATCCTTTTCTACACAAACTCATGTGTTCGTTATGATGGAAAGTGGTTTACAAACACCCCAAAATCAAAGTACTTTCCGTCATAACAAACCAAAATAGCCTCCCTCTCACTCAACATACTTGAATGGGATCTACTTGTTGACTAGATTTGGTGTCATCGATGTCAGATCCAGTAACACCAGATGATTTTTCTTCACTCAGGCGTTCACGTGATGTCAGTAGCATTTGGACAGCCTGCACAAGAAGCATGTGGGTCATAAATGCAATTTAGATTCACTGCATTGGAGACATTTTTTTCCTTAAAGAAGTTAAGTGCTGGTGATAAAACATGTTGTTGGGGTATAGAAGGTAACTGCAATTGCAAGGACAAATTTACAGTTTGTTCACGTCCCAAAATAATTCACATTTCAGCCAAAGTTTTGTTCCTAAGTAATTATCTATTTAATAAAATTGTACATGGCTTCCAATAGTAAATCAACCTTATTATAGTTTGTTTTTACACATGAAATCATTATTTTTTATTTAATACTCCTTCCGCCCATTGGACTTCGCCAACTTTCCTTTTTTGGTTGTCCCAAAAACTTTGACATTTTCCTATTAAGTAACTAATTTGTGATTTTGTACATTATTCTCTCCTCTGCACAAACCTCAATCACACAATTTTTACTTTTCTTACTCCTCGCCTAATTCAAAGTTGGCAATGTACAATAAGACAGAGGTGATATTTTTTATGCGAGAACTGAGAAGCTATTAGTGCAGTGAGTTCGCCAACCTGATCAGGTTTCTTGGCAGCAATCAGTGCATTTGTTAAGCCTCGAAGAACATCAAAATCAGTAGACTTTGACACCTATAACGAAACCAAACGAGTATAAGTATGATCAACGAAAAAATATCTAAGTAAAAAACATTAGCACATATGTGGGAAGCAGAGTCTCGTTCGGCATTACACAAGCACCGTGTGTTAACAACAACTGCGAGGATAATTTGCTACAAAATATGTGAATGAAACCATAGATGTAAAATACAGACCAATGCAGATCTTTTAAAAGCAGCAGCGCTACCCTCATAATCTCTAAGTTCATACTTAACCTCTCCGAGCAACCGAAAAACATCAGGATCATTGAGCTTCTTCTGCAAGGCAAACAGACAATTTCTTATGTTGCATCATATTGTGATGTGGAAACACTTTTTTTTGCCATCCAAAGTAATAAAACTTTTTGGAAAAACAAACCTTAGTCAAATTCTCGAGGAGAGAGGAGGCTCGATTGTACTCTCCTAGCTCTGCTAAGGTCACAGCTGCTCCCTGCAAGCCACCATAACAATTGTGAGTTGTGAACTCAAGCCATGGGCACAAGCAGTTAAACTAAAGAGAATTAAAAGAGATTCTGGTATAAAAGTCAGCTTTCATTTTAAATTCAAATTCCTGCAAAGCCAAGCACAAGCAGTTCTAAGCAATTACTCCATAAAACCTTGGAATAAGTTGAACTTGATCGAGTTCACTACAAAAGTACATATAAAAGTTGCACTTAAACAAACAGAACTATTTTTTGGGATTGTGGGAGTAGTGCATTGTACTTTGCACCACAAGATCACAGTAATTGCACAGAGAAGATTTTAGAAGGTGTCATGTCAAATATGGGAACTGCACCACCGCCGCCGCCGCCGCCACCACCACCACCATCATTATTATTATTATTATTATTATCATCTAATGCATCATCAAAGAATAAAAAAATTGTTAACCCCCATATCAAATTTTAGGACAGGCACAGAAGTTAATCTAGAGAACAAGTAAAAAATGCCAAATGATACTAAAAGAAACTTCTAGGAAATGATGCTAATTCTTTTCAATTTAATGAATTAATAATTCTTATACATTATTATAAGGGCTGTTAAATTCTTATAATAATTCTTTTCTATACTCTCAATTGATTAACAAACTACTCTAAAATTAATGAGCATGAGCTAAAATAAATTAAAGAAGAAGTATACGGTATGAAGTCACAAGACGAATAACACAAGTCCACAACTAACTTCAAGGGCTGTTGGATCTTCTGGGGATGTAGCAAGGGTGTCCTCAAACTGCTTCAACCTCTTCTGCGAAAACGGTTGGGAATGATGTCTCAAGATCAACAGCAGGGAAAATTATTAGAGAAACAGGTAATATAGTTTTTAAGGGAAGAAGGGACAACTGGAAGGAATTAAAAATAAATTTCTAGTGCAAACAAAAAAATAAATGGATCGAACAAAGAAGCAAAAGCAAAGTTTCTGCAGCTTGAAAATAATCTTATATGAATTCCATCTTGTAAAACAGAGGAAATATTATTATTCTTATTATCATCCCTCTCATACATCATGATCAATAGTTCAATACTTATAAAGGTAGGAGTACATCAAGAGATAAAGGCATATCAAAGGTCACACATAGCATATGAAGGTTTTAGACAAATGCTCATATACTTGTACACATGCAGTAAATATTCTAGTTAATCTTATTAACATCCTTCTCATACATCAGCACTACAATTTATAGAGAGATAACAGTACATCAAGACACATGCACATATCAAATGTTACATAGAGCATATTAAGAGTTTAGATACATGTTTAAATAATTGTGCACATGCACTAAACACATTTATGATGTCTCTACGCAAACTTCCTTTGTGAATATAAAAACATATTGCTACTATATAACAAAGATTACATGAGGTGAAAACTGCCCCTTTTAACATTCAAAAGCGTTCAAATAGGTTGAAACAGAAGCTTGATAGAAGTACAACAAAAATTGGTAATATTCTATTTAATCTTTTTTATATCACCGAGCAGAATGAAACAATTCACACTTGTACTAGTGAATCTTTGAAAGCGCTCCAATTAATGTCAAACATTTTACCTGAAGATTTGCTTTCTCTTCTTCTGATATTTTCTTACCAGCTGCAGTGACTTCATTTGTGGGACTAACACTACACATCCAAAAGCTATATTAGGATCATATTTGGCTTGTGAAGGAATACACGATATGATGGTTTAGAGAAAATAATACTACGTAACATAATAACATTTATGAGATATAAGTTAATCAGGACTTACCCACCTAACAGTTTCATTTCATATTTTTGATTTCTGAGACATTGAACTTTTTCAATTAAGCAACAAAAACTCAAGCATATAATAATATATTGGATCTATATTGGTATGTGTCTAGGAATTGTAGAATAAAAGATGTTTAGAAAGAATGTTACAAAACTGACAGTAAACATAGCTCTGCAGCTAGAGTATTCAAACCACACCTTCCAGTGGGAAGAAAGTCGCCAAGGGTAAAAACCAACCCAAAGACCACAACTGCGACTCCTACTCCAATCTGTACAAATCCATGATGTTGCTATTCTTAATCCGTATTTTGGTGAAGAGCTACACTCGTATAGAATTATGCACAAGTCAGGAATGCTACCTTAGTACCTAATCCAACTCTGCTACTTTTGATCTCTACTGGAGTATCATAATCAATTGCTCCAAACAGCTTTACTTCCTCGGCTTTTTTCTGCTCCAATGTTGACCTAACCAAGTTATGGAAGCACTTGTAAAATCGAACAGTTACTGTGTATTGGTTAATTTTTTGTTCTCAGTGGCATATTTACTTAAAATATGAACATTATAAATAAACCTTTTAATTGCTTGCAGTCGTTCCTCAAATTGAATATCACAAACACTATTTGTTGACTTTGTATTTAGAACAGGGGCTTCTGCAAGTGGGAAAAAAGAGTGACTTGAAAGCATAGGCAATCCAATCAAAGAAACACCAAGATGCTTCCATAGCCTTAAGAAAAATTACTCTCTTTGCCATAAATTAAGTTGATTCCAAATATGTTGTTCCACTTCCTAAAATAACTTTCTTCGTGTACAGTAAAGGTGTTTGGCTGTTTGATCATTTCGACCATATAAGTAAGTCGAAGGTTACTACTTCGGCTTATTCAGGAGCTATTCTGGTAGTTCTGCTGGTATGCAGAATAAAACGATCAATACTACCAAGTGAGGCCTAAAAGTCAAAACACTTTAAAAGTGAAACTAATCTGCAATTAGGATTTGAGGAAACCAACGAGGCAATGATGCAGAAAAAAATGAAGTAGTAAATAATGTGCAAGGTATAAACATATACTTACTTGTAAGGTTGGTGCTAGATTGTTGAGAGGGAAGTTTTCTGCCAAAACATCATTCTTTTTTCAGAAGGTTATGCTAAGTTAAACAATATGAAACTGTTTTGATTTCAGAGTACAGACATTATCCATAAATGAGAAATGTGCTCTTAAAAAGAAGGACAAGTATAAACGAGAAGCTCAAAGCTCTGAGCTTGAAGGGTGTTACCCATGTTTTCCCCTAAAATGTTAAATTGGCTACATCAACATTTATTCTTCCCTAAATAGTTTTTATTGCACACGGAATAAAACATAAATTGCGTTTAAATATCTTTCCTGGCTTTCTGCAAACCATCAGTGCCAAAATTGGAAGATTTTCCACACCCTAGAACACACACACACACATAACTACATAAGTGCAGTAACGTATAGTGGGAGTACCTAGAATCCTTTCTGCCGGTAGAAGAATTCTTCTTGACCTGGGGACGATAAGTATCAGTTATACCAAAGTAGAATATAACAATATGTCCTCGTCAATTTATAGCAATAACAAAAATGACGAGAATTCTGGATCAATGATCCATCTTGGAATCTTATACCTTGGATTCGTTGGTGCCAAAACCACGCGTGGAAGATGACCGTGAATCCGAGCAGCAGCATGTTCGGAGATATATCGAATTCCTCCGGCAGATGAAGTACTGATTACTGTTACTGAAAACGGGAGCAGAAGTAGAAGTCGACAGAAAATGTGGCCGGCGGGATGTACTCGGCAAGAAGTGCGTACAAGAAGAAATATGGACCGTTATAGTCGCTGCAACGACCATCATCTCTACACAGCAGTCACTTGATTCAGGAGATTTTGATAAATACTGTAATTTCAATTTTAATTAATAATCAACATATATAAGACTATAAGAGAGAGTTTGGGGTATCTAAAATAATGATGTAAGGGTCAGATTGAGACTCGAAGTTGCATAAAAAAGGTCAAATAAGTCCTTCCTATCCGGACGTCGCCATTTGGGATGGTTCCCGGTGGAATTTTTTGATAAAATTTTTTGAGCATCTTATTCATTAAGTCTAGTTTACTCACACCAAATTTCAGCTAAAACTTCAATCGGGAAGGCATTCAAATGAATTCTTGAAGACAACTGCGCTTTTAACTGTGCAGTTATCTTCAAGAATTCATTTGAATGCCTTCCCGGTTGAATTTTTAGCTGAAATTCGATATAAGTAAACTAGACTTAATGAATAAGATGCTCAAAAAATTTCGTCTAAAAATTTCATCGGGAACCGCCTCAAATGGCGATGGTTGGACAGAGTTTCCTAGATAAGGACTTATTTGACCTTTTTTTTGCAATTTCGAGTACCAATATGACCCTTACCTCCTAAAATAATTACATAGTACTTTGACACAGGGATGTAAAAAGCTTGCAGTGATAAAAGATGGCCAAACATTTGTTAACTAATTTTATAGGGATTTTAAAAATGTTGGCCAAACAGGGTGGAAATTGATAACAGATACAGGAAGTTTAATGGGACACGTGCTGAAAGCTAGATATTTTCCTAACACTACGCTTTCTACAAGCATCGGTGTGAAATAATCCTTCCTTCATGTGGAGAAGTATTGTGGAGACCCAATCAATTTTGGAGAGTTGACAATGGTAGGTAGGTACAAGTGTGGACTGATGCCTGGCTACCAGGGTGGTATTGGGAAAATTCATTCTCCCCGACCTTGCGGGGATACTTGACATGAATGTTGCAGCTCTGCGGGATTATCCAGGGAAGAATTGGGATAGAGAGAATTTTATCTATTTTTGATAAAGAAGACAATGAACGAATCCTAAGCATACCAATTAGTCTCCAAGATAGACAAGATGGTTATTGCCTTATTGGTGGATAGGGAAAAAAGATGGCTACTTTTCAGTTAGGAGTTGTTACCGGAAGGTGGCGGGCTGGCAAGATGACAGGGGCTGGGCGGGCGGGGTGGCCTTGTGGGAGATGCATATATTCCCCCTAAAATTAAATATATAGCGTGGCAAGTGCTGGATGGATCATTACACTCGTTGGAAAATATTCACAGGCATGGGGTGGAGTTACCAACGGCATGTAAACTGTGTGGCGAAGCTGTGGAGTCATCAGATCATGCGCTCAGGTCTTGTGTGAGAGTCCAGGAGGTGTGGCATTCGGTCGGGGTTGATCTAGGCAGCCAGAATGATAGGTTGGAAGATTGGGTGAAGGAGGAGGTTGAGGGGTCGGAAAAAGAAGACAAGTCCAAATTTATTATGCTTTTGTGGAGTATATGGAAAAGGCACAACAGACTGGTTTGGAAAGATGAGTGGCTTAATTCAGCGACAATGATAAATGGGACGGCGGGCATGTTAGCTTCATGGAGGGAGGCTCAAGTTACGGGAGCCAAACATAGAAAGCAGGGGCAAGGAGCAGTGGATAGGTGGACTAGGCCTAGGCGTGGAGTGATTAAAATTAACGTTGATGCTAGGGTGAACACGACAGATGAGATAAGAGCTCGGGGATGGATCACACAGAATGATGAAGGCGATTTCATTTAGGCGGGGGGCGGTTCGAGGAAAGCAGAGTGGTCACCGGCGGAAATCGAGGCTATGGGCATTAGAGAAGCTGTTGGTGTAGCTAGCAGAGAAGGATGGAGTGAAGTCATAATAGAGACGGATGCTCAGCAGATTGTGCAAGGAATAAGGGTAGGGGAGGGGAATTCCTACACAGACTTGACTTGACAGTGGATGACGTTCGGCATCTAATTCAAACAAAGAGTAACATTAGTATCTCTTTTTGTAGACGGTCTGCGAATCGTGCGACTGATGCTTTAGTAAGGGCTCACGTGTCTATCTCAGATCAGAGTAGTATTTTTACCGTTGTTCCTGATTATCTTGTAAGTCAGGTGGCCAACAATATGCTTTTATAATAGTAAGTTGTGTTTCGTTAAAAAAAATTAATTTTATAGGCTATGAGCTATGGTGGGCTCAAGCATGGTGTAACTTAATTTTTTCCCATTTTTTGGTGTAAATATTTTCATTTTTATACTCAGCCCACTCCGTTAATGTTTAAGCATAGTATAATTGCTTTTCAGCCTAGGGGATCTCAGATTCCTAAATCCGCCCCTGACTCCCTTCCTCTCATATAAAAGTTCTTACTTTCCTTTTTGGACGTCACATATAAAGGTTCTCATTTCTATTTTAAGAAACAATTAACACTTTTAAATGATCATTTACTTAACAAATATTAAAAACAATAAATTTATAAGATTACAGTTATCAACATTAACCCCATCATATCAAAATTATCAATTAAAATTATTTTTCAAAATAAACTTGAATTACCTTATTTATCTATTATCTAAATAACTATGTCATTTTGCAATGAGAACCGTCAACTGGACGAAGGTAGTACTATTAAACTACTACCTCCGTCCCGTTAGAAGGTTCCCATAGCAAAATGACACAGTTATTTAGGCAATAATTAAATAAAGTAATTCGAGTATATTTTGAGAAATTATTTTAATAGACATATATTATAATGTAGCTAGTAATGATAACTGTGATGTTATAAATGTAATATTTTTAATATTTACTGATTAATTTGTCACTTAAGATTGTTAATTGTTTCCTAAAATGGAAATGAGAACCTTCTAATGGGACGTCCAGAAAATAAAAGTGAGAATCTTCTAATAGGACGGAGGGAGTATATCGTAAACCGACAATGATATTTTAAAAAAGAGACAAAGTTAAGTGATAGATAAAGAAAATAATTTATAATAAATGATAATCGAACCTTTAAACTATTCTAAGTGAGAATCTTTGGGGGTGTTTGGCAATTGGTTGTTCGCTATTGGCTAATTCTTTTGGATGACTGGTGACAACGGATTTTGTTGGCTATTTTGATTAGCTGATAGTATTAGCTGTTTATAAAACAGTGTTTGGTTAAACAAGGGTTTATAATTGGTTGACAACTTATTAAATCACTTTTAAGGACATCTATTAATTTGTTTTGTTTACTAACTACGGAGTAGTTTACAAACTTTGATAATATAATTAGAACAATTACTTAATCCATTTTTATTTAATAAAAATAAAATTTTAAACATGAATTTTAAAGAAGAAATTCAAACGGCCAACACCCTAAACGCCAAGTTCATTAGCTTTTCTATTTTGGCTGTTTGTCATAAAAAGCCAAGTGAAAAAGTCAATTAACCAAATATTAATCAAATCAGCCAAAAAACAGTTGATATGTTGCTAACCAAACACCCTCTTTATAGTAGTAATGAATGAGGGATAAGTTTAACGCACTACACATGCATTACTATTCTATGGGAAAATGCCTTGCTGCCCAATAAAATGTTGAGATCCCTAAAATGTTAGGTATTTAAAATTACTTTATCATTAAAATATCACACAATGATATTATTCGATCCAACAATTGAAGAAATATAATATTTTCAACTTGAAAAACTACTTTCTCTGTCCCATTTTACATGCCTTACTTTCCTTTTTGTGTTATCCTAAAATAAGTGTTACATTTTCATTTTTGAAAGAAATATGTAGTCTACACAACATTTCACTTTATTATACTTAAAATGTCAAACAAAGTATGACGCATAAAATGAGACAGAAATAGTAGCAAATAGGGTATAGAATAAGAAATATGGTACGGAAAATACAATATACGAAGGGAGTCTGCTACTACCTGCAGCGTGTGTGTGGATAGCACGTGAGTATCTATATTGTGTCAGTTGGTGGATGCATGTCATCCTCGTTTGAATGCATACGGGAGAAGTCCACAAGAGATAGTCTTTAGTTGTACATAGAGGATTTATTTATCTAGTCTCGATCGAGGGGACAAAGGACGAGGGTGCACATTCTGATCCTTGGTTAATCCTTATGAGAACAATATGGGATGCTTGTTGTACCTTCAAGCTTCAATCATATGTGGCTTTGGACTGAGGATGTTATCCGATGCTTGTTAAGATGAGCCGGAATGTCATGTAAGTGTGGAGGTCATGGATTCGAACCCATATACTCCATCAACAGTCCCTCACTCCCTTCACCGAAAATACTTGAGATGAAAAAGAGCATTTCTATTTGTGCCTTGTCTTCCTCGTCCATAGATGGAAAGTCGAGGCCAAACCCCCCAACTCCCCACTTCTTAAGGGTGAGCATGGCCTCATTTGGAGTAGTCTTCTTATGTAGCCGTTGTGCCCTATGGATGCCTTGGTCAGTGGTCCGATCTCTTTGGTCGGGGTAGATATCATGCCCGTCACCATCTCTCGATCGTCATCCTCCTCTCCTCGTTTCCGTCATCCATCTTGAGTCATTGGATGCATTCTGCGCAAGGATGAAAAGCGGAATGGGAGAAAGAAAGAAAGAAAGAGAAAAGGAAAAAGAAAAAGGGCTACGCCAAAGGAAAAAAGAAAAAGAAAAAAGAAAAAGGTGCCATGGGCTGCTGCATCAATTTGCGTGTGCACGCGTCAACAGGTAACCAATGAAAGTTAAAGTATATGGCTTACTTGACTTTTGTATCCTATTCTTACTCTCCAACCAAAACTTTACAACTCAACTCCATCCTCTACACATCCAAAACCCTCCAATAAAAAATAGTTCAACCCTCCAAGAAAAGAGAAACATGAAAATATAGCTTTTAACATGTGGGTGAAAGTGACAGTGACTTTACTGAACATCTTGCCATGGTGATGACATGACATTTGGAGGAGTGGAACGTAAGAGGCTGTAAATCAAAATCCATTTATACAATTCATTTCGAGCATTTACGTGTTACAAATGTCACTATAAAGTTAAATTCAAAAGAAACTAAAGGAAAAGTCAACCTACCTTTTGTGCAATCAAGGGCACAACTTGCAATAATATTTACATCATGGTGAGAATTGATATGCATTTACAAAACAAGTACATACATACAATAG